ATGTGTAAAGTACCTCACATGTGTAAAGGACCTCACATGTGTAAAGGACCTCACATGTGTAAAGTACCTCACATGTGTAAAGGACCTCACATGTGTAAAGGACCTCACATGTGTAAAGTACCTCACATGTGTAAAGGACCTCACACATGTGTAAAGGACCTCACATGTGTAAAGGACCTCGGGCCTCACAGACCTTTGTGTTTGTCGCTCGTCTTCGTCACGTCTCGTTCTGAAGAAGAAAAAAAACACTTTGGTTCAAATGAAGTTTGAAGTGTGTTTCTTTTCTAAATGACTCTGTGAGAGTAAAATGTGTTTGTACCTTTCCTCTTGGAGCGCACGGCCGACACCCGACGCATCGTCTCTGCACAAAACACAGAACAACTTTTGAAGTCTGAAATGTCGGAGCCGAAATGAACTTTGTTCTTCTCACTTCAAGAACAAGAACAAAGTTCTTCTGATGTACGAACAGAACTTTAACCTTTAGCACTGAGCTACACTTTCCTCCCGCTGACACACACCAACATGAGCGTGCACGAGGAGCGTGCACGAGGAGCGTGCACGAGGAGCGTGCACGAGGAGCGTGCACGAGGAGCGTGCACGAGGAGCGTGCACGAGGAGCGTGCACGAGGAGTGTGGGCTCGTGTATCACATGAGGGTCACACGTCCAACTCCAGACAGAAACAACCAGCAGAACCCTCCCGGTGTGTGAACCCTCCCGGTGTGTGAACCCTCCAGGTGTGTGAACCCTCCCGGTGTGTGAACCCTCCAGGTGTGTGAACCCTCCCGGTGTGTGAACCCTCCCGGTGTGTGAACCCTCCCGGTGTGTGAACCCTCCAGGTGTGTGAACAGGTTCTGACCTGGTTTAATCTCTGGTTTTTCTTCTTCTTCTGTCTTTATGGGGCAGGAGCAGCTCGGCTCAGGCTCCACAGAGACTCCAGACTCCTCCTCCTCTTCCTCCTCTTCCTCCTCCTCTTCATCCTCTTCCTCCTCCTCTTCCTCCTCCTCCTCTTCATCTTTGTCCTTCACTTCATCTTCGTCTTCATCAGCTGCAGAAACGAGAGAAAAACTCAGATGATGTTTCAGAACCTGCAGAACATTCCTGTCACACCTGTCACTCATGCCTCACCTGTCTCCTCCCCCTCGGCCTGTGGCTCCTCCCCCTCGGCCTGTGGCTCCTCCCCCTCGGCCTGTGGCTCCTCCCCCTCGGCCTGTGGCTCCTCCCCCTGGACGCTCAGAGTCGCTGCAGCTGAACCTGAAGAAGCAGAGAGTCTCACTGTTCTCTGTTCTAACACTGTTCCCTCGTCACAAACCCAAAACCCTCTGCTCCACCTGGTGATGTCATCATGTGCTGATACAGGAAGTGCTCCTCTGTGTTTTTAAACTCCACACACCTTCACTAGAATCATCTGGATCATTTCAGTCGTGGAGTTTCTTCACCGAATCTCGACTGAACTAAAAGGAAAAGGAGCTGAGAACTTGATGACATCACGAGGTGGAAAAGAGTCAGAATAAACAAACAAACAAACAAACAAACATGACTCCAACTCTGAGTGTGACCAGGAACAGAACATCAGAACATTAGAACATCAGAACATTAGAACATTAGAACATTAGAACATGGTTCATTGGTGAAACACAAAAACAAACCTGCCAGCTCTTCATCCTCTGCATCTCCCTCTTCCTCTGCGTCCTCTCCCTTCTGCTGCTCCTCCTCTTCCTCCTCCTCCTCCTCTTCCTCCTCTTCGTCAGAGCTGGTGATCACCTCAGACTCTGACGTCAGCTCTTCATCCTCTGCGTCAGTGTCCGACTCGTCCAGATCCACCTCCACAGAACTGCTGTCCTCCTCTGCACCCTCCTCCTCTTCCTCCTCTGCACCCTCCTCCTCTTCCTCCTCTGCACCCTCCTCCTCTTCCTCCTCCGCTTCCACCTCCGGTACAGCCTCCTCTTCCTCTACTCCCTCCTCTTCCTCTGCTACTGCCTCCTCCTCTTCCTCTTCCTCTTCCTCAGTGTCTTCTTCTGCGTCAGTGGTGAGAACCTCCTCTTCTTCTTCGGTCTCATCTTCATCGTCTCCTAAAACTCCGCTGTCCGTGGTTTCTGCTGAGGCCAAGTCCTCCTCCTCTTCCTCCTCCTCTTCCTCCTCCACCTCCTCTTCCTCTGCACCCTCCTTCTCTTCCTCTTCCTCTGGTGTCACATCTTCTTCCTCTTCTTCAGGTTGAACGACAGCTGCCTCCTCTTCGCTCTCCTCCTCTTCGCTGTCGTCTTCGTCGTCTGCGAAGAGCTCAGAGGAGGCCACAGACACCTCCTCTGCGTCCTCCTCCTCCTCTTCCTCCTCTGCGTCGTCTAGCTCCGCCCCCTCTTCCTCTGCTCCCTCCTCCTCCTCTTCCTCCTCCTCTTCCTCCTCTGCGTCGTCTAGCACCGCCCCCTCTTCCTCTGCTCCCTCCTCCTCCTCCTCTTCCTCGTCTTCTTCAGACAAATCCAGAGCTTCTGTTTCGGCGGCGACTTTGAGCTCCTCTTCCTCTGCGTCTTCATCAGTTTCTGTGATCTTGAGCTCCTCCTCTGCGTCTTCATCCTCTGCGCCCTCCTCCTCCTCTTCCTCCTGAAGGCAACAAAAGGCACAAGTTACATTAATTATAGACCTGATTTAGACCTGATTTAGACCTCGCTTAGTCCTTGTTTAGTCCTCGTTTAGACCTGACCTTTTAAGAGACCTCCCTGATTAAGTCGTTAGACCTCGTTTAGTCCTCGTTTAGGCCTGATTTAGACCTGTTTAGTCCTGTTTAGTCCTTTTTAGTCCTGTTTAGACCTGATTTAGTCCTGTTTAGTTTTAGTCCTCCTCCTCTGCATCATCTTCTTGTGTCTTTACCTCCAGTTTGGACTCCTCCTCCTCCTCTTCGTCAGAGTCAGCGAGATCTTCCTCTACACCCTCCTCTTCCTCTACACCCTCCTCTTCCTCTACACCCTCCTCTTCCTCTACACCCTCCTCTTCCTCTGCGTCAGAGGAGAGCAGTTCTGATTGGCTGAGGACAGAGGAGGAGTCAGAGAGCCCCTCCTCTTCCTCACTGCTCTCCTCCTCTTCCTCTGCATCACTGTCCTCCTCTTCATCGCTGGACACAGGTTCAGGAGCCTCGTCTGCGTCCTCGTCCTCCTCTGCGTCCTCGTCCTCCTCTGCGTCCTCGTCCTCCTCTGCGTCCTCGTCCTGTTGGAGTCAAACAGGAGATTTGGTTTGATTTTTTTTATTTTGTTTTACAGCTCCACAAGTCTGACCTCTGACCTCTGACCTCTGACCCCTCTGACCCCTCTGACCCCTCTGACCTCTGACCTCTGACCCCTCTGACCCCCTCTGACCTCTCGGGATGTAACTGAAATCTGATCTCGTATCGTCAAAGTTTTCACAATAACATCGTGGATCATCACAATAAATCGACTCACAAGTGTCTTTGTTTAAATGAAGAGTTAAAAACACAGAAGGAACTACACAGACCATGATCCTTTGCTCCAGTTCAGTGCAGACGACAAGAAGAAACTATTCTGCCATGAGATGTAGATCGTGAAAATATCGTACAGTGAAAATTAGAGCCCGACCGATATATCGGTTGGCCGATATTATTGGCCGATATGGGCCGATATTTCCCGTGGGCAGGTGATACGTCGTTATAAAGTTTAGACTCTCTACATTCTGTTCATTTAATCCAATTTACAGACGTCTGAGTGTTGAAATACATCGACTTTGAAGCTAGTTTTGGTTATTTGTTGTTATTAGCGATTATCTGCTGCGTCTCCTGCACAGAATCAGTCTGTTTTCTATTGATCTGTTGTAAAGTGATTATATTGTTTGTATATTTGTTTCTGCAGCTGCATTGATGTAAATGAGTGTGAACAGACGTGTGAATGATCAACATTTACACATATCATTAATTACCGCGGCGCAGCATTTACGGCTAAAGGCTAATAGCGCTAGTTTCTTTACTAGTTATGAGTCGGTCGTGATCGAAGCGGCTCTTAGATCCGACTCTTTGAAGCGAACAACAGGAGCATGTTTCTTATCGGGAGCCGTGTTTTCTCTTTTTCTCACTTTTTCTCTTCAAGTCGCTTGTCGACTCGTAGTTTGACGGCAGCAGCGGCGGAAAACCAAACTTTCAGAAATCTGCGTGTGCAGAGGATAAAAAAAATCTTGCATATTTGTCTGCAGTTCAGCATAAAATGAAAAAAACAGGACTAATCTTGGGCTCGAGTGAAGGAGAGACCGAGTCCAGACACTCAGTCCTGGTTCAGTTCTGGTTTAGTCCTGTTTGCAACAAAACAATCTCAAGAGTCTCTCGGGAGCTGAAAGAGCCAACTGCTTTAGTGAGCCGAGCCAAAAGAGCCGCTTCTCTAAAAAGAACTGGAATCTCCATCATCACTAGTGTCTAGAATGTGATGCAAAAATGTCATTAGTCCAAACTTCTGTCTGTAAATGTGACGTAAAGAGTCAGAAGAACAATAAATGTTTCTTAAATCAACCCAATTTAAAATCCACCAGAACCAAACCCAAGTTTTTGAAACAATTCAACATTTACTGTGAATTTTTACATCACTAAATATATCGACGATTATATCGGCAGCTTCAACTCCCATTATATCGGTTTCATATCGGCCACAACAAAATCCACATCGGTCGGGCTCTAGTGAAAATATGGTACAGTGAGATTTGGAGATCGTTACATGTTGTGATTCGTCCCGGGTGCAGACGTGGGTGTTTCAGCTGTTGTGACGTTCAGCGGTGAAACTGAAACTGAAACTGAAACTGAAACTGAAGTTCTTTTTACAAACACAAACAGACGCGGCGTCGTTCACACTCGTCATGGTGTAACTCTGGTAAATCGAGCTCTGAGCCTGAGAGTCACAGACTCACTGACCCGGAGCACCACCCCAGACCCGGTGAGAGTCAGGTCTGTGGAGAGGCGAGTCGCTCAGGAACAGACACAGTTTAGTTTTGTTCTGTTTTTTGGCTAAAAAATTACAAACTGTGGCTTTAAAATATTTTACACACTCACTTAGACCTGGTTTAGACCTGGTTTAGTCCTGGTTTAGTCCTGGTTTAGTCCTGGTTTAGTCCTGGTTTAGTCCTGGTTTAGTCCTGGTTTAGTCCTGGTTTAGTCCTGGTTTAGTCCTGGTTTAGTTCTGGTTTAGACCTGGTTTAGTCCTGGTTTAGTTCCAGTTTCAGACTGACCATTTCTGCCTCTTCTTCTCCCTCCTCTTCCTCCTCTTCATCACTCTCAGTCAGAGCTTCCTCTTCCTCTGCTCCCTCCTCTTCCTCTGCTGCAGCCTCTTCCTCCTCTTCCTCTTCTTCCTCTTCTTCCTCTTCCTCCTCTCCTGGCTCTTCTTCCTCCTCTTCCTCTTCATCCTCCTCTTCCTCTACAGTGGCTGGTTCATCTTCTGCATCATCCTCTTCATCAGAGTCAACGACCTCCTCCTCTTCCTCCTCCTCATCTTCATCTTCTGCTTCTGACTCTGCATCCTCAGCCACTTCCTCCTCTTCCTCCTCCTCCTCCTCTTCCTCCTCCTCTGCAGCTGTTTCTATCTCCTCCTCCTCTTCTTCTTCTTCTTCTTCTTCCTCTTCTGCAGAAGGCTCCTCCTCTTCCTCCTCTTCCTCTGCCTCCTCAACTGCTTCCATCTCCTCCTCCTCTTCCTCCTCCTCCTCTTCCTCTGCCTCCTCGTCTTCCTCCTCAGCTGGTTCTGTCTGCTCTTCCTCTTCCTCCTCCTCTTCACCCTCCTCTTCCTCTTCTTCTTCCTCCTCCAGTTCTTCTCCTGAGACAAAAGTTTCATGGATAAATGAAAATGAACATCAGGAGATTTTAGTCTGACAAATTTTAATTTTAATTTTAATTGAATTTTTTTTTTGCAGAAGGACAAACAAATGTTTCACACTTTTCTCACCTGTCTCCTCCTCCTCTTCCTCCTCCTCTTCCTCCTCTAGCTCCTCCTCTCCTCCTCCTCTAGTTCCTCCTCTTCTTCTTCTTCTGTGAAATGATTCAGATTGAATCCGTTTTGTAAATTTCACATTTAAACTCAGTTTTCTGTTTCTGTTTCATGTTTCTGTTTCGATCTCGTTCTGAATCTGAAGCTCAGATTTATTCTTTGAATCTTTTGGAAAATTGTCATTTTTGTTCAGTGACCATTTTCTCACCTAACTCCTCCCCCTCCTCCTCTTCCTCCTCTTCCTCCTCTTCCTCCTCTTCCTCCTCTTCCTCCTCCTCTTCCTCCTCTTCCTCCTCCTCTTCCTCCTCTTCCTCCTCCTCTTCCTCCTCTTCCTCCTCTTCCTCTTCATCTGCCACAGAAACAGAAACAGAAAAGTTCATTAAAGATCTGAACACGATGAGACACGTTTCACTAAAACAAGTGAAACTAAAACTTCAAGTTTCATTTCTTTTCCAGTTTCTAAAGTTTCTAAAGATCCTTCCTGGTTGGACGCAGTGACAGGAGCGGCAGGAGCGACAGGTGCGACAGGTGAAGAAACTCCAGAACTGTTCCCATAGCAACGATGGTCCTCCCCCCAGTGGAACATGAACACCTCCTGAGGGACACGTCCAGGAGACGTCAGAACAGACGTCCTCCCCTCAGACGCTCCTCTCCACGTGGAGGAGCAGCGGCTCTACTCCGAGCTCCAACCTCTGTCTCCTCTTCACCACAACCACCCACACAGAGACCACTGCACCTGTCCACCTGTCCACCTGTCCACCTGTCCACCTGTCCACCTGTCCACCTGTCCACTGTCCACCACCTGTCCACCTGTCCACCTGTCCACCTGTCCACCTGTCACCTGTCCACCTGTCCACCTGTCCACCTGACCACCTGTCCACCTGACCACCTGACCACCTGACCACCTGTCCACCTGTCAATCTGACCACCTGTCAATCTGTCCACCTGTCCACCTGACCACCTGTCCACCTGTCAATCTGACCACCTGTCCACCTGACCACCTGTCCACCTGACCACCTGTCCACCTGTCCACCTGTCCACCTGTCCACCTGACCACCTGACCACCTGTCCACCACCTGTCCACCTGTCCACCTGTCCACCTGTCCACCTGTCCACCTGTCCACACTGTCCACCTGTCACCACCTGACCACCTGTCACCACCTGTCCACCTGTCCACCTGTCCACCTGTCCACCTGTGACCACCTGTCACCTGTCACCTGTCCACCTGTCCACCTGTCCACCTGTCCACCTGACCACCTGTCCACCTGTCCACCTGACCACCTGTCCACCTGTCCACCTGACCACCTGTCCACCTGTCCACCTGTCCACCTGTCCACCTGTCCACCTGACCACCTGTCCACCTGACCACCTGTCCACCTGTCCACCTGTCCACCTGTCCACCTGACCTGTCCACCACCTGACCACCTGTCCACCACCTGACCACCTGTCCACCTGTCCACCTGTCCACCTGTCCACCTGTCCACCTGTCCACCTGTCACCACCTGTCCACTGACCACCTGTCCACCTGTCCACCTGACCACCTCCACCTGCCACCTGTCACCTGACCACTGTCCACCTGTCCACCTGTCCACCTGTCACTGACCACCTGTCCACCTGACCACCTGTCCACTGACCACCTGTCCACCTGTCCACCTGTCCACCTGTCCACCTGTCCACCTGTCCACCTGTCCACCTGTCCACCTGTCACCTGCCTGTCCACCTGTCCACCTGTCACCTGTCACCTGTCCACCTGTCCACCTGTCCACCTGACCACCTGTCCACCTGTCCACCTGTCCACCTGTCACCTGTCCACTGTCACCTGACCACCTGACCACCTGTCCACCTGTCCACCTGTCCACCTGTCCACCTGTTCACCTGTCCACCTGTCCACCTGTCCACCTGTCCACCTGACCACCTGTCCACCTGTCCACCTGTCCACCTGTCCACCTGTCACCTGACCCACCTGACCACCTGACCACCTGTCCACCTGTCCACCTGTCCACCTCCACCTGTCCACCTGTCCACCTGTCCACCCACCTGTCCACCTGTCCACCTGTCCACCTGTCCACCTGACCTGTCCACCTGTCCACCTGTGTCCAACTGTCCACCTGTCCACCTGTCTGTCCACCTGTCCACCTGTCCACCTGTCCACCTGTCCACCTGACCTGTCCACCTGTCCACCTGTCCACCTGTCCACCTGTCCACCTGACCACCTGACCACCTGTCCACCTGTCCACCTGTCCACCTGTCCACCTGTCCACCTGTCCACCTGACCACCTGACCACCTGTCCACCTGTCCACCTGTCCACCTGTCCACCTGACCACCTGTCCACCTGTCCACCTGACCACCTGTCCACCTGACCACCTGTCCACCTGTCCACCTGTCCACCTGTCCACCTGTCCACCTGTCCACCTGTCCACCTGTCCACCTGTCCACCTGTCCACCTGTCCACCTGTCCACCTGTCCACCTGTCAATCTGACCACCTGTCCACCTGTCCACCTGTCAATCTGACCACTGTCCACCTGTCCACCTGTCCACCTGTCCACCTGTCCACCTGTTCCACCTGACCACCTGTCCACCTGTCCACCTGTCCACCTGACCACCTGTCCACCTGTCAATCTGTCCACCTGTCCACCTGACCACCTGACCACCTGTCCACCTGTCCACCTGTCCACCTGTTCACCTGTCCACCTGACCACCTGTCCACCTGTCCACCTGTCCACCTGTCACCTGTCACCTGACCACCTGTCCACCTGTTCACCTGTCCACCTGACCACTGTCCACCTGTCCACCTGTCCACCTGTCCACCTGTCCACCTGTCCACCTGTCCACCTGTCCACCTGTCCACCTGTCCACCTGACCACCTGTCCACCTGTCCACCTGTCAATCTGACCACGCTGCACCTGTCCACCTGTCAGTCTGACCACGCTGCACCTGTCCACCTGTCAATCTGACCACGCTGCACCTGTCCACCTGTCCACCTGACCACCTGTCCACCTGTCCACCTGTCACTGACCACCTGTGTCCACTGTCAATCTGACCACGCTGCACCTGTCCACCTGTCCACCTGTCCACCTGTCCACCTGTCCACCTGACCACCTGTCCATGTTCCATCCTCACTCCAGAACCAACGACTTCAGATTTGGAGGAGCCGATCTTCATCTCAGACGCTTCACACTCAGGTCAAACCGCCCCAGAGCTGCAGGTCCTGGTTTAGTCCTGGTCTAGTCCTGGTTTAGTCCTGGTTTTGTCCTGGTTTAGTCCTGGTTTAGTCCTGGTTTTGTCCTGGTTTAGTCCTGGTTTAGTCCTGGTCTAGTCCTGGTTTAGTTCTGGTTTAGACCTGGTTTAGACCTGGTTTAGACCTGGTTTAGTTCTGGTTTAGTCCTGGTCTAGTCCTGGTTTAGTCCTGGTCTAGTCCTGGTTTAGTCCTGGTTTAGTCCTGGTTTAGTCCTGGTTTAGTCCTGGTTTTGTCCTGGTTTAGTCCTGGTTTAGTCCTGGTTTAGTCCTGGTTTAGTTCTGGTTTAGACCTGGTTTAGACCTGGTTTAGTTCTGGTTTAGACCTGGTTTAGACCTGGTTTAGTCCTGGTTTAGTCCTGGTTTAGTCCTGGTTCTGTAAACAGCAGAGATGATCCTGTGGTCTCCAAACCGGAACCTCCAGACCCTGACTGCACCTGCACCTAGAACCTCTGTGAACAATGAACAGAACCGGCGACAGGTGCGGCCCTGTCGGAGTCCAACAGGCACCAGGAGCAGGTCTGACTCCCTGCAGAGACACGACTCCAGAAAAAGATCCATAAATGATTCTTCTTCAGAACAATGTTTAATGTTCCTCACCGTAATAATCCTCATACTCCTGGGACAGCTGCTCCTCCTCCTCCTCCTCCTCTCCTCCTCCTCCTCCTCCTTCTTCTTCTTCTTCTTCTTCTTCTTCCTCTTCCTCTTCGCCTTCGTCTGTTGCAGGAAAAAACACTTTAGTTTAGTTTCCTTGTTTCCGATTGTTATAAAAGCTCCAGAAATATGAAACCATTTCCTCACCTAACCCCTCCTCCTCTTCCTCCTCTTCTTCTTCTTCCTCCTCTTCCTCCTCCTCAGCTTCTAGTTCCTCGTCTCCTAGTTCCTCGTCGGGTTCCTTGTCCTCGTCCTCGTCCTCCACCACTTCGATCACGGGCAGTTTCTTCTTGGTTTGCATCGTGATCACTGAAAAAAAAAAAAAAAAACAAAAAACAAAAACAAAAAAAACAAAACAAAAACACAGGTTCAGTTTTTTTCTGTTTCTGTTTCTGAGACGTTGCGACTAAAACCCGGATCTGGACTCACCTTTGCCCCGAGACGGAAGGAATTCACCTGCGGCAAAAAAGAAAACCCGGAAAAAAACAAAACGGAGAAACACAAATGAATTCAAAAAGAAAAACACAAAAGTTAAAGATGGTTTCAGACGATCGAGAGTGAAAGAAAAAAACACAAAGGAACCAAAGAGAACCAAACAGAACCACGCAGAACCCAAACAGAACCACACAGAGTCAAACAGAACCACACAGAACCACACAGAACCACACAGAGTCAAACAGAACCACACAGAACCAAACAGAACCACACAGAACCATTACAAAACCACATAGAACCCAAGAGAGCCACACAGATGCATGCAGAATTATTATAGAACATTACAGAACCACACAGTCCCATTACAGAACCGAACAGAACCACACAGAACCATGCAGAACCTCACAGAACCCAAACAGAACCAAATGGAACCCAAACAGAACCACAAAGAACCATTCCAGAACCTCATAGAACCACACAGATGCACACAGAACCAAACAGAACCTTGCAGAACCATTACAGAACGATGCAGATGCACACAGAACCAAACAGAATCACACAGAACTGAACAGAACCACACAGAACCCAAGAGAACCACATAGATGCACACAGAACCGAACAGAACCACACAGAACCATGCAGAACCATGCAGAAGCAGGAGTGGTGCAGGTTTGGTTGGAGGAGACGAATAAAAACAGATTTAAAAAAGTAAAATCAGAACGACACACGATTAAATCTGATGAGTACACGAGTCAGGTCAGTGTGAGTCAGGTCAGTGTGAGTCGGGTTGGTGTGAGTCAGGTCAGTGTGAGTCGGGTTGGTGTGAGTCAGGTCAGTGTGAGTCAGGTGGTGTGAGTCAGGTCAGTGTGAGTCAGGTCGGTGTGAGTCAGGTCGGTGTGAGTCAGGTCAGTGTGAGTCAGGTCAGTGTGAGTCGGGTTGGTGTGAGTCAGGTCAGTGTGAGTCGGGTCAGTGTGAGTCAGGTCAGTGTGAGTCAGGTCGGTGTGAGTCAGGTCAGTGTGAGTCAGGTCAGTGTGAGTCGGGTTGGTGTGAGTCAGATCAGTGTGAGTCGGGTCAGTGTGAGTCAGGTCAGTGTGAGTCAGGTCGGTGTGAATCAGGTCGGTGTGAATCAGGTCGGTGTGACTCAGGTCAGTGTGAGTCAGGTCGGTGTGAGTCATGTTCGGTGTGAGTCAGGTCAGTGTGAGTCAGGTCGGTGTGAATAAGGTCGGTGTGAGCCAGGTCAGTGTGAGTCAGGTCAGTGTGAATCAGGTCGGTGTGAATCAGGTCGGTGTGACTCAGATCAGTGTGAGTCAGGTCGGTGTGAGTCATGTCGGTGTGAGTCAGATCAGTGTGAGTCAGGTCGGTGTGAATCAGGTCGATGTGACTCAGGTCAGTGTGAGTCAGGTCGGTGTGAGTCATGTTGGTGTAAGTCAGGTCAGTGTAAGTCCTGGTGTAAGTCAGGTCAGTGTGAGTCGGGTCGGTGTGAGTCAGGTCAGTGTGAGTCAGGTCGGTGTGAGTCAGGTCGGTGTGAGTCAGGTCAGTGTGAGTCAGGTCGGTGTGAGTCAGGTCGGTGTGAGTCGGATCAGTGTGAGTCAGGTCGGTGTGAGTCAGGTCGGTGTGAGTCAGGTCAGTGGTTAATGAGACGAGTTCTTTAGTGAAACGTCTGAGGTTCAGTCCAAACGGATTAAAGACTCACAGAGTTTAGAGTTTAGAGTTTAAAGTTTAAAGTTTAGAGTTTAGAGTTTTACCTCCTGCAGAAGCGTTGAGCTCCAGAGCGCCCCCCACAGGCTCGTCCTCGTCCAGCCAGCTCACCGCTGCACGTGCACGTACACACACACACACACACACACACAGAGACACGTGCACAGCTCAGCGTGTAACATGTGCAAAACCAAACAGAACGACCTGAGGACCCACGCACACACACACACACACACACACACACCTGTGCTCCTGTCACAGTGTGTGTGTGTGTGTGTGTCCAGAGTCTGGGACAGTTTTATTCACATATTTAGATCCTGAAGCTCAGAGCTGCAGAAGCACCGTCTGAAACCAGCCACACAGACAGGTGCAGGACAGGTGCAGGACAGGTGCAGGACAGGTGCAGACTCACCTTTTTTACGCACCGCGTACAAGTTTCCTGAAAAAAACAGAGACAGAGTCACACAGAGATCTGTGTGTGTGTATGTGTGTGTGTGTGTATGTGTGTGTATGTGTGTGTGTGTGTGTGTGTGTGTGTGTGTGTGTCGTGTATGTGTGTGTTGTGTGTGTGTGTGTGTGTGTGTGTGTGTGTGTGTGTGTGTGTGTGTGTGTGTATGTGTGTGTGTGTGTGTGTGTGTGTGTGTGTGTGTGTGTGTGTGTGTGTGTGTGTGTGTGTGTGTGTGTGTGTGTGTGTGTGATGTGTGTGTGTGTGTGTGTGTGTGTGTGTGTGTGTGTGTGTGTGTGTGTGTGTGTGTGTGTGTGTGTGTATGTGTGTGTGTGTGTGTGTATGTGTGTGTGTGTGTGTGTGTGTGTGTGTGTGTGTGTGTGTGTGTGTGTGTGTGTGTGTGTGTGTGTGTGTGTGTGTGTGTGTGTGTGTGTGTGTGTGTGTGTGTGTGTGTGTATGTGTGTGTGTGTGTGTGTGTGTGTGTGTGTTTGTGCGTTTGTACCGTCCTCGTCGTCGGGGGCGACCAGTCCGGCGGCGAATCTCAGGACGGTGGAGACGAGGTTCAGTGATTCTTCTGCAGCTCCTTTCACCAAACGCAGAGGGTCAGAGGGACGCTCCACTGCACCTGCCGACAGGAGCACAGACAGGAGCGCAGGGAGGTTAATATACACTACACCTGTCGACAGGACCGCACCTGTCACAGGAGCACAGACAGGTGCACAGACAGGTGCACAGACAGGTGCATGATGATGTTTTCCATTTAAAAATTTTAGTTAAATCTTTAAATTTGGTGTAAATTTTACAAATATTTGAATCAATAATTAAATGGAAAAATAAAACATTGATATTTCCGAGGTTTGAGCTCAGACAGGAGCAACAGGAGCGACAGGAGCAAAGTGTCAGGAGCAGGTCCTGTCCTGGTCCTGTCTGACAAAAAACTCTGAAACTAAAACCTCCAACAAACCAGGAGGGTCAGGGGTCAGGGGTCATGGGGAGGGTCAGAGGTCAGGGGTCAGGGGGAGGGTCGGGGTCAGGGGTCAGGGGAGGGGTCGGGTCAGGGGTCAGGGGTCAGGGGTCAGGGGCTGCAGCTGATGGAGCTGAGATGTTGAGGAGCTCCACTGGTTCTGTTTCGTTTGGTTCACACAAGATTTATTTTTTTGTGTCCAGACGTGACGGAGCTCCTCCTCCTCCTCCTCCTCCAGCTGCAGCTGAAACCACCTGACTGTGGGGACAGACAGGTGAGACAGGTGAGACAGGTGAGGCAGGTGAGGCAGGTGAGGCAGGTGAGACAGGTGAGGCAGGTGAGACAGGTGAGGCAGGTGAGACAGGTGAGACAGGTGAGACAGGTGAGGCAGGTGAGGCAGGTGAGGCAGGTGAGACAGGTGAGACAGGTGAGACAGGTGAGACAGGTGAGACAGGTGAGACAGGTGAGGCAGGTGAGACAGGTGAGGCAGGTGAGGACAGGGTTTGGGCTTTAGGAGACTGGGTTCAGGTGAGTCAGAGTTAGTGAAGTGAGTCTTGCCTCGGCGACTTGAGTCCTTGAGGATTTTCCGGGCCGGACCTGCTCAAAACACACAGGGATTATTATTATTATTATTATTATTATTATTATTATTATTATTATTATTATTATTATTATTATTATTATTATAACAATACAAAGTTAGACTGAGGTGAGACGAGTTTTATTAAATCATGATGTGAGAGTCTGAGGGTGAAGGGTCAAAGGGTTAAAGGTCAGGAGAGTGAAAGTGAAAGTGAAAGTGAAAGTTGAGTTGACAGATGAAGATGTGGGTCAGGACGACGGTGACACAGAAACACCGAGCGAAGGATCGAGCTCTAAAACCTCCGACACTTTTACACCGAAGACCTTCCAGAAGAAACACGGAGAACGACTCGACTCTCAATGTGAAACTCTGGTCACGGCCAAAGGTCACAGGTCACAGAAGCACCACTGTCATACTCCAAAGGTCAATCTGTCTAAAAACTGACTTATAGAAGGTGCACCTGTCGTGTAGGGAGCACACCTGTCGTATGGGGGGGTTCACCTGTCGTGTATGGGGCATAACTGTCGTGTAGGAGCACACCTGTCATGTACGACTGTACCTGTCGTGTAGGAGCGCACCTGTCATGCAGGGCCGTACCTGTCGTGTAGGAGCGCACCTGTCATTAAGGACTGTACCTGTCGTGTAGGAGCGCACCTGTCGTGCAGGGCCGTACCTGTCGTGTAGGAGCGACCTGTCATGTACGACTGTACCTGTCGTGTAGGAGCGCACCTGTCATGTAAGGGCTGTACCTGTCGTGTAGGAGCGCACCTGTCGTGTAGGAGCGCACCTGTCATGCAGGGCCGTACCTGTCGTGTAGGAGCGCACCTGTCGTGCAGGGCCGTACCTGTCGTGTAGGAGCGCACCTGTCGTGCAGGGCCGTACCTGTCGTGTAGGAGCGCACCTGTCATGTACAACTGTACCTGTCATGTAGGAGCGCACCTGTCATGTAAGGGGCGCACCTGTCGTTTAGGGCCGCACCTGTCATGTAGAGTGTGCACCTGTCGTGTAGGAGCGCACCTGTCATGCAGGGCCGTACCTGTCGTGTAGGGTGTGCACCTGTCGTGCAGGGCCATACCTGTCGTGTAGGGTGTGCACCTGTCGTGCAGGGCCACCTGTCGTGCAGGGCCGTACCTGTCGTGTAGGGTGTGCACCTGTCGTGCAGGGCCATACCTGTCGTGTAGGAGCGCACCTGTCGTGCAGGGCCGTACCTGTCGTGTAGGGTGTGCACCTGTCGTGTAGGAGCGCACCTGTCGTGCAGGGCCGTACCTGTCGTGTAGGGTGTGCACCTGTCGTGTAGGAGCGCACCTGTCGTGCAGGGCCGTACCTGTTGTGTAGGGGGTGCACCTGTCATGTAGGAGCGCACCTGTCGTGCAGGGCCGTACCTGTGGAGGTGTGGCTCAGGTCGAACAGGATGACAAACACGCAGGTCCACGTGACCAGCAGCGCCACCACCAGGACCCAGGCGAGCGGCGAACTGAACGTGGAGTAAACCTCGTCTGAGAAGGTCCGGCGAGGTTTGAGCGCGGCGCCCTCTGCTGGACGACCCTCGATCACCATGGTGGACGAGCCGGACGAGCGAGTCACTGCGGACAGAGGGGGGGGGGTTTGATACAGATGGACCGTGCTGCTCCCTGATTGGCTGATCCACCTGTCAATCTGTCAGCTGGTATTGTGGCCACACCCGTTTGTCAAAGTCTGATCCCATCAAACTCTGAGGCTCAGCAGGTCTGGGTCTGGGTCTGGTCTGGGTCTGGTCTGGTCTGGGTCTGGGTCTGGTCTGGGTCTGGTCTGGGTCTGGGTCTGGGGGTCTGGGTCTGGTCTGGTCTGGGTCTGGTCTGGGTCTGGTCTGGGTCTGGTCTGGGTCTGGGTCTGGTCTGGTCTGGGTCTGGGTCTGGGTCTGGGTCTGGTCTGGGTCTGGGTCTGGTCTGGGTCTGGGTCTGGTCTGGTCTGGTCTGGGTCTGGTCTGGGAGTTCCAGGAGCCACAGGAGGCGCCAGTGGCAAAAAACTGTTGTTGTGTCCTTAGGCAAGACACTTCACCCACATTGCCTCGTATGAAAGTGGTGTGTGTGTGTGTGTGTGTGTGTGTGATGGTGGTGGTGGGAGGGGCTGATGGCGCAGATTGGCAGCCGCACTTCTGTCAGTCTGCCCCAGGGCGGCTGTGGCTACAGTAGTAGTTTACACCACTGAGTGTGAAGTGACTGAAGAATGAAGTGTAAAGATCTTCAAAGGCGCTGCACAAATGTAAACAAACCAATTTAAACTCAGAGATTCAGACCCTCGTTTCCTCATAAAGGTCCTCATAAAGGTCCTCATAAAGGTCCTCATAAAGGTCCTCATAAAGGTCCTCATAAAGGTCCTCATAAACGACCCCCTTGAAAACGAGATGGTGACACATCTCAAGGGGCTTATCCTCCAAACAAATAAATTCAATTCAAATTCAAACTACACCAGAACTAAACCAGTACTAAACCAGTACTACACCAGAACTACACCAGAACTACACCAGGACTAAACCAGAACTACACCAGGACTAAACCAGAACTACACCAGAACTACACCAGAACTACACCAGAACTACACCAGGACTAAACCAGAACTACACCAGACTAAACCAGAACTACACCAGGACTAAACCAGGACAAAGTTTTTATTTCTATAGTGTTTTTCACAGACGTTTGTCACAAAGACTCTTCACATTTTATTCTTCTTCACTTCACACTCGGTGGTGTGATCGGCCCCTCCCCCCACCAACACACACACACACACACTCCACTTTCACTCTACGCAATGTGGATGAAGTGTCTTGCCTAAGGACACAACGACCGGCGCCTCCTGTGGCTGCTGATGTTCCCAGAGTCTCCAGACTCTGAGCTCCTGAGATCTGACCCCAGATCAGGGTTTGACGACCACGACCCACAACTACAACTCTCTGTCCTCTCCTCCCTCTGAGCAGAGATCAGGTCTGACGTGTTTGGATTTAAAAACCCAGTGGAGCTGCAGTGTCAGACCTGCACCAGAGGAGGCAGTGTGAGTCACATCTGACCCCGACCCCCGACCCCCGACCTCAACCCCGAGATGAACGCACTTTTACTGTAACAGACACAAACTACTGAACCAGGACTAAACCAGGACTGAACCAGGACTAAACCAGGACTGAACCAGGACTAAACCAGGACTAAACCAGGTCTAAACCGGGTCTGAACTCAGGTCTTACCTTCCACAGTCTCGGTCATGATTCCTGGACTCCCATGGATCTGTCCAGTTTTTCCGCTCAAATCTGACCCAGTATCCACAAACCGGTCTAGTTCCAAAAGCAGGACTTAAAAATCCGGTTATAAACCAGGACTACAGCAGGTCTCTGCGCTCCAGCTCAAAACCGGGACCGTGTAATCCGATCCGACGCAGGACTCGGTGATCCAGATCTAAATCAGGCCTGAGACCGGTTAGAATCCAGGACTTGTGCGAAGGTCCAGACTGGTTCAGATCAGGTCCGGGTTGAGATCCAGGATTTGGTGGTCTTGGTCCGGGCTCGGGTCTTGGGTCTCAGATCTGGGACCAGAGTTAGACCAGCCCCCCACCCCCCCCGAGGACCCGGGACAGAATTAGACCAGAGGCCGGACTGAGGGGGGAGGGGGCAGGAACTAAACTCAGAGCAGAAAATCCAGAGTTAAAACTGAGATCAACACTTGAGTCCATCAGGAAATGATTTAAAAATAATAAAATAATCGACTGTTTTCCACCTGTTTTGTTTTTGTTCTAAATTTATGGAGACAAAGTTTGAGATGAACAAATTTAAAATCAGTTTAATTTCAGAGTTCATGGGCTGATTATAAACTCTCAGATGCCAAACTCTAAATAAAAAGTTTTAAATTCTGCCAAATTCTAAAAAAAAAGTTTTAAATTCCGCTAAATTCTAAATAAAAAGTTTTAGATTCTGTTAAATTCTAAATAAAAAGTTTTAAATTCGGCTAAATTCTAATAAAAAAGTTAAAATTCTGCCAAACTCTAAATAAAAAGTTTTAGATTCTGCCAAATTATAAATAAAAAGTTTTAGATTCTGCCAAATTCTAAATACAAATTTTTAAATTCGGCTAAATTCTAAATAATTAAAAAAAAATTCGGCTAAATTCTAAATAAAAAGTTTTAGATTCTGTTAAATTCTAAATAAAAAGTTTTAAATTCGGCTAAATTCTAAATGAAAAAGTTTTAGATTCTGCCAAATTCTAAATAAAAAGTTTTAGATTCTCCCAAATTATAAATAAAAAGTTTTAGATTCTGCCAAATTCTAAATACAAATTTTTAAATTCGGCTAAATTCAAAATATTTTTTTAAAAATTCGGCTAAATTCTAAATAAAAAGTTTTAGATTCTGCCAAATTCTAAATAAAAATGTTTAAATTCTGCCAAATTCTAAATAAAAAGTTTTAGATTCTGCCAAATTCTAAATACAAATTTTTAAATTCAGCTAAATTCTAGATAAACAAACTTAAAACCAGATTATGATGAGTTTGATTGACGTGATAATAAATTCAAAGTTGCTGAATTTAAAATCAGTCTGACATGATTCACAGAAAAAACTGAAGGGTTAAAATTTCAGGGTAAAATTTTGTTTTTGTTGTTTTTAACACAGAAAGTGTGATTTTAACTCTTTGAAAGTTAAATGTTTGTTGGAGTTGTGGTTATTTGCCAGAGTTGATGTGACTGAAGTTAAATCAACTTCCTCTAGTCTTAATTTGGCTCCTCCCACTCATCAAACTCCCACCAGAGAAGAACCAGTTTAAACCAGGACTAAACCAGGACTAAACCAGGACTAAACCAGGACTAAACCAGGACTAAACTTGTTCAAACCCTCCTTACAGTTCGCTGCAGTATGAGCCTGTACGAGGCTCCGCCCACATGCTCCTACACAACAAGTCTCCAGAATCACTACGACCTCACCGGCTCTTCAAAGACGCTCAGAGTCTGGTCACGACCTGGTGGAGTCAGAGTCTGGTCACGACCTGGTGGAGTTAGAGTCTGGTCACGACCTGGTGGAGTCAGAGTCTGGTCACGACTTGGTGGAGACTCTGGGAACATCAGGAGCCACAGGGGGCACCTGTCGTTGTGTCCTTAGGCAAAACACTTCACACACATTGCCTCATGTGAAAGTGAAGTGTGTGTGTGTATCTGTGTGTGTGTCTGTGTGTGTGTGTGTGTATGTGTGTGTGTGTGTGTGTGCTGTGTGTGTGTGTGTGTGTGTGTGTGTGTGTGTGTGTCTGTGTGTGTGTGTGTGTGTGTGTGTGTGTGTGTGTGTGTGTGTGTGTGTGTGTGTGTGTGTGTGTGTGTGTGTGTGTATCTGTGTGTGTGTGTGTGTGTGTGTGTGTGATCTGTGTGTGTGTGTGTGTGTGTGTGTGTGTGTGTGTGTGTGTGTGTGTGTGTGTGTGTGTGTATCTGTGTGTGTGTGTGTGTGTGTGTGTGTGTGTGTGTGTGTCTGTGTGTGTGTGTGTGTGTGTGTGTGTGTTGTGTCTGTGTGTGTGTGTTTGTGTGTGTGTGTGTGTGTGTGTGTGTGTGTGTGTGTGTGTGTGTGTATCTGTGTGTGTGTGTGTGTGTGTGTGTGTGTGTCTGTGTGTGTGTGTGTGTGTGTGTGTGTGTCTGTGTGTGTGTGTGTGTGTGTGTGTGTGTGTGTCTGTGTGTGTGTGTGTGTGTGTGTGTGTGTGTGTGTGTGTGTGTGTGTGTGTGTGTATGTGTGTGTGTGTGTGTGTGTGTGTGTGTGTGTGTGTGTGTGTGTGTGTGTGTGTGTGTGTGTGTGTGTGTGTGTGTGTGTGTGTGTGTGTGTGTGTGTGTGTGTGTGTGTGTGTGTGTGTGTGTGTGTGTGTGTGTGTGTGTGTGTGTGTATCTGTGTGTGTGTGTGTGTGTGTGTGTGTGTGTGTGTGTGTGTGTGTGTGTGTGTGTGTCTGTGTGTGTGTGTGTGTGTGTGTGTGTGTGTGTGTGTGTGTGTGTCTGTGTGTGTGTGTGTGTGTGTGTGTGTGTGTGTGTGTGTGTGTGTGTGTGTGTGTGTGTGTCTGTGTGTGTGTGTGTGTGTGTGTGTGTGTGTTACTGTGTGTGTGTGTGTGTGTGTGTGTGTGTGTGTGTGTGTGTGTGTGTGTGTGTGTGTGTGTGTGTGTCTGTGTGTGTGTGTGTGTGTGTGTGTGTGTGTATCTGTGTGTGTGTGTGTGTGTGTGTGTGTGTGTGTGTATCTGTGTGTGTGTGTGTGTGTGTGTGTGTGTGTGTGTGTACTGTGTGTATCTGTGTGTGTGTGTGTGTGTGCTGTGTGTGTGTGTGTGTGTGTGTGTGTGTGTGTGTGTGTGTGTGTGTGTGTGTGTGTTCTGTGTGTGTCTGTGTGTGTGTGTGTATCAGACTGGAGTCTCTCTCCTGTCACTCTGCCCCGGGGCGGCTGTGGCTACAACAGAATAATAAATATATTTGTGTAAAACGTGTCTGGGGACAGAAAGTCTGATCAAAATAAAAACTTACAGAGCAACAAAAACATTCATCAACAAATCCTTTTTATTGAATCAAACATTTTCAGAACAATAAAAGAAACACGGAGATGAAAATGTGGGTCAAGACTCTGTGAGGTTCTGGGTCGGGTCTGGGTCGGTTCTGGGTCTGTGTTGGTTGTGGGTCAGATTCCCGGTTCTGTGGCGCAGAATGAAAACACTCAGTTCTATTTTTATCCTGGAGACTGGAGCTGGAGTTATTCTGGGCACGACTGCACTGTGGCCTTTTTAGGACCTGGGCGGGACCAGACCCAGACCCAGACCCAGACCACAGACCACAGACCCAGACCCAGACCACAGACCCAGACCACAGACCACAGACCCAGACCCAGACCCAGACCCAGACCAGACAGACCCAGACCAGACCCAGACCCAGACCCAGACCACAGACCAGACCAGACCCAGACCCAGACCAGACCACAGACCACAGACCAGACCAGACCCAGACCAGACCCAGACCCAGACCCAGACCAGACCAGGACCCAGACCACAGACCAGACCCAGACCAGACCCAGACCCAGACCAGACCCACCAGACCCAGACCAGACCACAGACCAGACCAGACCCAGACCCAGACCACAGACCCAGACCCAGACCCAGACCACAGACCCAGACCCAGACCCAGACCCAGACCAGACCACAGACCCAGACCCAGACCACAGACCACAGACCAGACCAGACCACAGACCAGACCAGACCACAGACCACAGACCCAGACCGACCTCCAGACCAGAGCTTCAGTTCAGTTTATCTCCTGTAATGTCACATTTTCTGACCCGTTTAAAAAAGACTAAACCAGAACTAAACCAGGACTAAACCAGGACTAAACCAGGACTAAACCAGGACTAAACCAGGACTAAACCAGGACTAAACCAGGACTAAACCAGGACTAAACCAGGACTAAACCAGGACTAAACCAGGACTAAACCAGGACAGAATCAGTCGAGTCGTTCTGAGTTTTAGTTTTTTATTGACACTTGGTTTGGAGTTTTTTTTCACATTGTTCAAACATTAAAAAAAAAACAACTTTCTCACAGATTTATTCAGTTTTTATTTATTTATTCAGAGCAGGTTTGTGTTTTTTTCTCCTCCACTTCAGTTTCGATCTGGACTGAAACGGCTCAGACTTTTTTATTTCATTTGAGCAAAAACACAAAAACAGCAAAAAAAAACCCAAAAAACTCAGAAATCAACAGAATCTCTTCAAATCAGCAGAATTCTTCACAAATCTGAACATTTGACGCTTGAATTGTTTTAAAAATCTCTGAAAAACACTTTTACTTTGTTCATTTTTAAACAGGTTTTTCAGTCATTTTCATTTAAGTCGATTTTTTCTTGTGATACTTTTACTTTTACTCGAGTATCTTCTGCTCAAGTCACAAAACGGAGAAAAACGTCTTCCCCCTGTGACTAAAGCTCAGTCAGGAACCTCACAGCTGTTACCTGGCAACCGTGTTCCAGCCCAGAGCCACAGGAGACGCCACGAGCAAATCTGACGAGAAAAAACTCAAAACTCAAAAAACCAAAAGTGATTTTATCTGATCAGATTTTGGTTCAAGACCTTCAAATCATCGAAAAGAATCTAATTTCAGAAAAAGCTTGTGTGAAACATCCTCCCTTTTTTGTTTTCTTCTTTTTGTTGTGTGTGTGTTTTTGTTTTTGAATTGTTTTTTGTGTGTGTGTTGTATAAATCAAACAAAAAAGCAAAAATAAAATATTGCAAAAAAATAAAAAATAAAAAAATCAAGTTTCAGAGACGCTCGATCAGAACAGAGGGTCGTTCAGTCAATCGTTTTTCTAAATAAAACCATAAATAAAAAAATGAAACGAAAAAAAAAATGTTTCCTTTACTACTTACTGTTTCCAAAATCAAAACGAAAAAAAAAAAAAAAAAAAAAAAAACAGAAAATAATTAGATTTTTTCAGTTTTTGAATTTGTGTTTAAATGAAAAATGGAAAAAAAAGATAACGGACTAAACCAGGACTAAACCAGACTAAACCAGGACTAAA